GAAATTTCCCAAAATCGAAATAACTGATCAAAATAACCAAGAACAGAAAAATCGAACCAAAAATCCGAACAGATAATGCTCACCCCTACTAATCGGGAATTTCCCCATAAATAAGTAACTTATATATCTATATTATCATGATCTTACCCATTTACACCCCTACTTGAAACCCACCAAGATTCACCGRTTCACTCATGCTAGTGAAGATTCAATATAATATGGGTCGAATTACCCATTAGGGTGAAGGTGGGGTTGAGTCGAGTGTACCTATGAGGCTATGAGGGTCGGGGTGAATTGGGTCGAGGGGTTCATGAATAATTGAATAGGGTCTGTTTCAGGGAGCACTAGCCACTAGCACATACCGTCATCCCCATCTCCTCAAGACCTTAACCCAACCCGGAGTGGTGGCAGCGGGGGATTTGATACCAGGTGTCACACCTGCTACAAGCCTACAACGAATTAAGAGATCCTAATACTGAGCCACCATCAGTCTTCAACTGTCGGTGTGACAGTGGGTTAGACGTTCGAAGGTTCATTCTCAGACTGACAGACTCTCCGAAGATTCATTCGCTGAAACACCGCCGGCGACCAGCTTCAACGTCGCCAAAACAAACTTCTCACCGCCGACCACCTTCAATATTGCCGGTGTTTGTTCAAATCTCTCTTATTATCCTCTCTGTTTAGGTTTTGTTCAAAACTTCAATCGTCAAAACAAGCTTAAAGGTTTGTTGTTTCTTCAACGTCTCCAGTGTTTCTTCCTCTTCCAGTTGTCAAAGCCGAATCTTATTTCYCATCCATCCATCTGCATCCATTCTGGAACATCACGGGAAGAAAGGTTAGGAACAACATTTTTTTTTGAACTTTATATTTATGGCATGCTCAGCGTTTATGGTTTCTTCCAAATGTGCTTTAGCCATCTAAACATCAACCAATGCTGTATTCCATCCAAACATCAATCAATCTGAACCCATTCTGGAACGTCACGGGAAGAAAGGTGTTTCTTCCTCATCCGCAACCATTAAATTATAAATTTGTYATGAAATACGAATTTCATTTGGCAGAAAAAAGTATAAAAAAAAAACGAAAACCATCTCCCTTTTAGTTAGACATGGAAGGAAACAGGAATGCTTCAAGGTGTTTGGTTTAGGTATGGATGGTTGAAATGGTAATTGTAAAATCAACTTTAGTCTCTTTTTTTTTCCTTCACTCTAAAACATTACCCTAGGGGAGAAAGTTATTATAATGAGATATTGGATTTAAGCTAGCCAGTGGAACCTTGGTCAACATTTTCAAGGATCTCTGGGCACTGAAATAAATTGCAGGAGGTGGTATACTGCCTAACTGGATTTGCTAGTAAAATGAAATGAGTCCTCTCATTATGAAGTCTTATTCTTTTGCGTGTTCTATTTTCAGTGATGCTAGTAGTGGCAGCCAACAACCAACCCTAACCAGATCCATCTTGTTAGAAGATTTTGAAGATTAAAGTTGTCCCAATTGTTCAGAATTTTATCTGATTTTTGTGGTTCTTGTTGTTGGAAATGCTATCAAATCAAACAAGTAGGTGGCGTAGATATATTTATCAAAAAAAAAAAAAGTAGGTGGCATAGATATGGGATGGTTGTGAGTTTGTACTTTAAAAGTTTCTATTTTTTCTTGTTATAATTTTCTATTTCTGCTTTGGGTGTTGGGGGAAGGGCTCTCTTTTTCTGTCAGCTGGATTATGGAAGATTACCATTCAGTGAACAATTTTATTTTATTTTATTTTATATGGAATGCAGTATTGGATGAAAAATATGACAAAGGGTCTGTATTCCAGTGCACCACTCCCACATTGTGGCATGTTTTCATCCTGGCATTGGATGATGTACTAATGGTTGATCACCTTATAAGTAGAGTCATGGATGATGTACTTATGTTGTGGACTTTATTAGAATTTCCCTTTTTTTACAATGTAATAGAATTTCCCTAACCATGAGAATCACCACAAAACT